AACTTCCCAGGATAGTCTCCACAAGGATGCTACTGACCGTGCACGGGACACCTGAATTGACATGTTCCAGGAACCCAAATATCGTGGAAGCAACTTCTTGATGCTCCAGGAGTTGGATGGTACTCCAATACAGCTCTCTTACATCAATGGTGGAGCGTGGCTACCTTTATTCAAGCATAGTACAACTAGTACTGCTCGCATGGTTCAGTGCATCACTAATCATGCTCCGATTGGGAATTATTTTACCCAATTCAATATCCCAGAACTGGCTGGATGCTGCCACTGTGCCTCCCACTTCAGGAGTTGCGAACACCTTCTGGAATGGTGCCACAAACGAAAGCACCACCCTCCGCACTACATTCGCTTCGCAGCGCATTTAGTCAATCTCTTGGATGATAACCCTGCATTCTTTGCCCAAGCTATTCTCTACAAACCAGATGGGATTGGATAAGCTGTGGGGTCAGTTTCTCAACCATTGTACGATACAGCGGCATGGTGACCTCTGGGCAGCAGGGCTGTAAAGCTGGAGCTGGTCATCCGAAGTTGGTTCACTAATGAATGTGTAGGCTGATTCCGCGAGGGGTTGGCGTGGGTGCCAGTCACACCTGCGCTTCAATGGTCTCCTTCGGGAGATCGATGTGGCCACACTATTTCCAGGACCACTGAAGTGTAATGAATTCACTTCAAGTTTGCCTATAGGTGGGAGGGCATCAGTCCTGCCATCTGAAGGGCACCGTGCTGCTGCGTTATCAGTCATCGAAATCGACCCTACACACTTCCACACTCTAACGACGCCATCACGATGGTGACACAGGTGTATGCACAGGCCCATTGCATTGGAAACAGGGGGGTGGGCTGTATATTGTTTGGCATGTGTAATGTGCCTGGCTACTTAAAGCTCTCTTAGTCATAATCAGATGTATTGCATACGTAGCGTAGAGTACACGCAGACTGCTAACGCGCACCGCAAAATAAATTGTTGATTTTAAAATAAAAATAAAATAAAAATAAAAATAAAATAAAACCACTGCATGTCACATGCACAGGAAGGCCCAGACCACTGAGGGCTGAGCACATGACAGTAAACAATGATGTGGCATGCACCTAGCCCAGCTTTCAATGAAATCATCAGGTACTGGAGGATGAGTGGAATTTGAACCCACAACCTGCCTGGATGGTACACAGCCACCCTTTACAAGTCTTTAGTGATCTAAACCACTGGGCTATTGCAGCCCCCACAGCAATCAGCACCTGCTAGGGTGAAATGCGCATCCAAGGCATCCGCCAAAAAGGCTGCTAGTGATGATTCAGACACATTTTTCTAAATAGTAAAAGTACACTTTTTCACAACACCATGCAGTGCAAGAAATGTTGGAAGCAAAAATGAAGAAGATTGAAGCTTTGGAGAAGGAGATGAGGACTCTGAAGAAAACCATGCAGTCATAGGATGGCAGTAAATTTTTATTATCTTTCTCAAACCTCACTGACTGAGACTTCAGTCCAAGAACAAGGTGTGGAAGAAGAGCTTGAAAGTGAAGAAGAAACAGTACTATTTGGAGGGGCTGCAATAGCCCAGTGGTTTAGATCACTAAAGACTTGTAAAGGGTGGCTGTGTACCATCCAGGCAGGTTGTGGGTTCGAATCCCGCTCATCCTCCAGTACCTGATAATTTCATCGAAAGCTGGGCTAGGTGCATGACACATCATTGGTTACTGTTATGTGCTCAGTCTTCAGTGGTCTTGCACAGTGGTTGTAATGGCCTTGAGTGGCACCAGCTTGTAGCGGTCTTGCATGCTGGCACTTAAGGATTGCCAATCCGGGGGTCTATGGACCTGATGGTTCGAGACACACAGACTTGTCATGGGTGCAGCATGCAGCTGTTGGGTTCTATTGTCAGCTGGGGAGTTGGCTCAATGAAACATGGGTGAGAACCTTGAGATCTGGAAACACCCGGGACGCGCAGCACTGTAATGGTGTTGGGAGGAATCCCTTGCGCGTGGCTGTAAGGCTCTGATGAGGGCTTTTTTTTTTTTTTTTTTTTAAATCAACATTTATTTCACAGTGTGCGTTAGCAGTGCGCGTGTACTCTACGCTACATATGCAATACATGTGTTTATGACTAAGACTGGTGATAGCTGGGCAAATTGTGCATGCCAAATGATATACAGCCCACCCCCCTGTTGCCAACGCAATGGGCCTATGCATACACCCGTGTTGCCACCTCAATAGTGAAGTTAAAGTGTAGAAGGAGTAGGGTCGATTTCGACGACCAATGATGCAGCAGCACGGCACCCCCCAGATGGAAGAGCCGATGCCCTCCCACCTATAGGCAAACTCGAAGTGAATTTGTTACACCTTGGTGGTCCTGGAAATGGCGCGGCCCCATCGATCTCCCGAAGGAGACCGTTGAAGTGCAGGTGTGACTGGCACCCACGCCAACCCCTCACGGAATCAGCCTACACATTCATTAGTGAACCAGAACCGGCTGGATGCTGCTACTGCACTTCCCATTTCGGAAGTCGCGAACATCTTCTGGAATGGTGCCATAAACGAAAGCACCACCCTCCGCACTACATTTGCTTCACAGCACATTTAGTCAATCTCTTGGACGATAACTCTGTGTTCTTTGCCCAAGCTATTCCCTACAAACCGGATGGGATTGGATAAGCTGTGGGGTCGATTTCTCGGCTGTTGTACAATGCAGCAGCATGGTGACCTCTGGACAGCGGGGCTGTAAAGCCGGAGCTAGTCGTCCGGGGTTGGTTCACTAATGAATGTGTAGGCTAATCCCGTGAGGGGTTGGCGTGGGTGCCAGTCACACCTACACTTCACCGGTCTCCCTCAGGAGATCGATGGGGCTGCGCTATTTCTAGGACCACCGAGGTGTAATGAATTGACTTCGAGTTTGCCTATAGGTGGGAGGGCATTGGTCCCTCCATCTGGGGGGTGCCGTGCTGTTGCGTCGTCGGTCATCGAAATTGACCCAATCTTTTCTACACTCTAACGGTGCTACCATGGTGGCGACACGGGTGTATGCACAGGCCCATTGCATTGGCAACAAGGGGGTGGGCTGCATATCGTTTGGCATGCATAACGTGCCCGGCTACTTAAAGCTCTCTTAGTTGTAATCAGATGTATTGCATACGTAGCGTAGAGTACACGCAGACTGCTAACGCACACCGCAAAATAAATTGTTGATTTAAATAAAATAAAAATAAAAATAAAATAAAAAAATCGCGAAAGACCAGTGCAGCCGAGACAGCCTGGTACAGTCTCTGCTCCGGAAGCATAGCATCCGTGGCGCAGTAGACGCAGTTGGGATCATCCTCGCACTCGATGAGGATGAACCAGGTCATGACGAATCATGTCAAACTGGAGTCGGTTTGAAAGCATCTTCTCAAAGAGCTTTCCAAGCATGTTCAGTAAGACGATCGGACGATACACCTTCAGAACAGTGTAAGAGGGCTTGTTCAGTTTAGGTATGATAACTGACATAGACATCACTATATCCAGTGGATTCCACTAGTCATCACCACCTTCCACTAGTGGAATCCACTATTTTCCACCACTTTCCATTACTATATTCAGTGGATTTTCACTACTATTTCTACCCAGTCTTCACTAAAATTTACCAATATTCACCAGTTTTCATTACTATTTCTAATAAATGCCACCACTATCAAGTTATTTTATCATTAATAAGCAAATATAATTATAATTCAGTTACTATTAGAATCTTCCTCTTCTTCTTTCTCACTACACTCTATTTTATTATTAATATTTTCTTCAATTAGTCTGTATTGCTCAAGTGCTGTCAAAATTTTATATAATACTAAAGGAATAATTTAATAGAATTGCATAAAAATCTAGAGCCAAAATCTTGAATTTTTATTGATGGAAATCTGAGAAAGAAAGATGTGGCACTAAAGAATGTGCTTCAAATGCCAATAATCAAGACTGGTGGAATCTACTAAAAAGTAGTGGAATTACTAGTAGAAAGTAGTAGAAAGTGGTGAAAAAAGTGGTGGAAAGTGGTGGAAAAAGTGGTGGAAGGTGGTGGAGACTGGTAGAAATAGTAGTAGAGACTAGTGGAATCTACTGGATATAGTGGTGGAAGATGGTGGAATCCACTAGTGGAAAGTGGTGGAAAGTGGTGGACAGAGTGGTGGAAGGTGGTGGAGACTAGTGGAATCCACTGAAATAAGTGGTGGAAAGTAGTGGAAATACTAGTGGAAAGACCAGTGGAAAGTGGTAGAATGATTAGTGGAATCCACTGGATATAGTGGTGGAAAGTGGTGGAGACTGGTGGAATCCACTGGTGGAGAGTGGTGGAATCCACTGGAAATAGTAGTGGAAAGTGGTGGAATCCATTGGTGGAAAGTGGTGGAAAGTGGTGGAAATACTGGTGGAATCCACTGGAAAGTGGTGGAAGTGGTGAAATCCACTGGAATCTACTAGAATCCGGTGGATACATGTGGTGGAGTGCTAAGTAGTGGGGGATTGGTGGAGGCAGACCGATGGGGGTTTCGGATGCTTCCTCAGTTGATTGAGTGTGTCTGCGAGCGCTGGACGCTGCGGGGGCAGAGGCGATGCTCTGTTGGTCGGTGCTTTGCGAAGGATGAGGCGCTGCGTGCCATCCACAAGCGCCACGCCCTCTGCTTTCGGATGGCGTAGACATGCAACCCTAAGGTTGCGGTTGTACTTGTCTGATTGGAGATCGGAGCAACTAGACACAGTGTGAGGGATGTTGAAGATAATGAGCTCAGAGGTCATGTGTCGCGGTAGTGGCTGTAACAAGTCAAGAAGCAGTGGCTCTAATGAGGGCTAAAATGGCCAAGTGGTGCAGCTCTGGCTGTGCCTGCCTGCAAGGGACCAAAAGGATAGGCAAGGTAACAGTGGGAATCTACGGAAAACAACCCAATTAGGGCACCCTGGTGTAGACGGCCCTAGCTTGGCCACCCGAAGCCGGAGTTAAGAGCCTGGTGTTAAAACTGTAAAAGTGACCAGACTGGGGTTTGAATCCAGGACCATCCAATTATATACCAGATGCTCTAACCACTGAGCTATCAGGTCTTACCAGTGATCAAACACTACTCACTGGTATGCTCATTATCCTCAGAGACAACAACTTCTTGAAAGACTTATGGTTAACAACCACACATGTGGCACCTGCTTAGATAAGATGCAACCTGATAGGCTTGTTCCAAGTATGCCATGTGACACTACTAATCACAATGTGACGGATTACATAATCCAACACCCTGGTTCCCTGACAGGGGTTTGGGTAATAATCTACGCAGTTAGTCAGTGTAGTAGGGTGGGGGATTTGGATTAGTACCCCTATCTGAAACAAATCCAGGTCCGGATTACTGGATCACAACCTGGTTGGCAGCCGGCGAGACAGAGAGCCTGGACACCTTGGGGATCCAAGCCGGTTGGCATAATCAAACCAGGTGCTGGGCAACAGGAAACACAACAGTGCAGGCCATGGCAGGATGTGGTAGTCCCACTATCCTGGCCAGAGAGTACTTATCCTCTGTCGGTTCTCTCAGAGTAATACACTGTGTTAGAATCTAAGTTGATTCCGAGGTTGCATAGTAGAGTAGTATGCAAGTACTAAGCTGATAGCCTGCTCCCTTTAGGGGAGTGGGCTATATCTTGGCTTAGAGTACACACGGACTGCTAACGTGCACCGCGAAATAAATTGTTGATTTAAAAAAAAAAAAAAAAAAAAAAAAAACTGTACTATCTGGATTTTCGCAGTCAGTAAGTGCGCACAAATTTCTCATCTGTCAAATGTCACTGGCCTGATTGATAATAAAGGTCCATCCCCTTGGACCATCTTCCTGCATCAACACGCCTCAATCTTGAATGCCTTTGAAGCATGTTGGGGCTGCTGCTGCATGTCAACCCAGTCAACTTGCGAAGGTGTCTGCGAATGCATACAAAATATTCCTTTCTTCCACCAAGGCTCGGAGACTTGCATCACCACTGAGCAGGTCATGACTGCATTGACCCAGAGTCCAATCTGGAGCAACACCCATCCTACCGGTCCCCCCCAAATCATTCGTAATTCGAAGCACAGTAGCATGTCTACAGTGTACTTCAACATCTGGGACTCCCTTTTTTTTTTTTTTTTTTAAATCAGCAATTTATTTCGCAGTCCGCGTTAGCAGTCCACGTGTACTCTACGCTACGTATGCAATACATGTGTTTACGACTAAGACTAGTAGTAGCCGGGCACGTTACGCATGCCAAACGAGATACAGCCCACCCCCCTGTTGCCAACGCAATGGGCCTGTGCATACACCCGTGTCGCCACCGTGGTAGCGCCGTTAGAATGTAGATGGAGTAGGGTCGATTTCGACGACCGACGACGCAGCAACACAGCACCCCCCAAACGGAAGGACTGATGCCCTCCCACCTATAGGCAAACTCGAAGTCAATTCGTTACACCTCGGTGGTCCTGGAAATAGCGTGACCCAGCG